TGTAACTCCTACAGGAAGATCTCTTTAGCTAGGTCAACCAAAAATTAATAGAATTGGAGTTTACTTTTTTTTATGATCAATATCTTTTTTCCTGGACAATTAAATTATGAAACTAATTCGAGGGAATATTCTCTATACATAATAATTTTCATTGTCATCTCAAATAATGTCCATTCCATTTCGCCAAAATGTAGGTATCAGTGAATCTCCTCATTGAGTCTTTGGAGAGTGTTATTCGTCATTCTATTTGTGTTATAGTCGAGAGTTCTTTATACTGTGTGTTGGAGTGTCTGGAAATCGGTTCATTTGTGTTTTCAAAATGGTGAACCTCAACTTCATTTTTATTGATTTTTGGTTTACCTAGAGAGATCTTCCTGTGAAAGTTACAACGATGAAACTCCGTATCCAAATATTCGATTTGTAACTCCATTAAATGATTACTTCACCACTTGATACAGGGTGAATCAAAAAATAAAAAAAATCAAAATTTGCCATTTAATAACTAACTATAACACCCCATATGAGATTTTGCATTCAAATTTCGTATGGGGGTATTCCAGCTAGGCCTGAATTGAATAGGCCAGTCACTGTTTCGATAAAAAAATGCCTACTAGTCGTTTCTGAGATTTCGACCCTTTCAACAATCAAAAGTAGGCCTTGAAAATGTGAATATTTCAGATTTGTCCGTATTTTCGAATGAGCTCGTTGAGTACTATTTCATGAAATGTTTGTTCTTGGATTTCGGTTGACGGGTTTCAAATGAGAAGGATGTTGCGGGTTGAAATCGTACACACTGTTGATGACTTTTGTTGTGTTATATAGTTCCGAAAAATAAGCCAATAACACGGTCCACGAGAAATAAGAACTGCAAGTCCTTTAATCTTCCATTAGACTGCGCGGTTACGTAATACGTGAATTACTAAACAACCACTAAATTCGCAATTTTTTGAAATTAAATCACAGGATCAGACTGACAGATATTTGATTACCTCAGAAGAATGATAGAGATGCCTGCAACGCAGGTGTCATTCCTGTTAACAACTTAAAATATCACGTCGATAATTTTCTGATTTTGATATAATGTTATATCTTCTCAATATTGATTCGTAATTTTTCCTGTCACAAAAGCAAATATTGTAGGTACCTATTATACAGGAAAATATTAGATTTTAGTTCACGGTTTTTTGTCTCGCTCTGCTACGCGGCGGTAGGCAACACAACCTGGACCTAAAACCTAAAACTTTTTTCCCTTTTATAATAATTGATAAATATATATCTATTTGTCAATAAATCTGCGCAATTTTGTGTCTGTACTACTCACCAGTTTTCTAAATCCGATCTCGAATGAATCAGAAGTTACAGCACTCTCCGTTTTTGTGCACTTCTCTGCATATTAAGATAAAATTAGAACTATGGGTCCACTATGAAAAGAGATATACAGGGTGGCAGTGAAATAAATAGAAATATATTTCAAATCTTGAGAAAGCTCTACGTATACCTATTCTATCGAATGACACCATTGAAAAAAGTTAGAAATCAAAATAAAATCTGAGGTGAGACCCCATTTTTCACCCAAAGTTCTACACTGTAGCAATTCTGACGTCACCACTTTTCAAATTTCCGTGCGGGAGACACAATCACGCGGAGTTCAATCATTTAAATTTGTTCAGAGTAGCGTACTTGTTTTTTTTTGTTCTTTGTTCAATTTTTTTGATGGAATTTCTCGTTAATTAGAATACCTAATTTAAAAAATATATATTTTGGGAATGTTCGTATAAGATTGAATCATACCGATGTGCTGAATATGTGTATCGTGTACTCATTTCAAAAACACCTCCTATAATTAAAATACTGTATCGCCAGCCTACACTCAAATACTCTTATTTTCGATAAAAATACATTTTTTGAAGAATGTTCATTTGAACTTTTTGCCTGATTAAACATTGCATGTCTACATGCACTTCAATTTATGTTACTTATCAAAGAATCAATATTCCGAATTTGAAAGAATAAAATGTATTCAGGTTGATTTCATTCCAACTTCAGAAATAACGAACATTAAATCACATAATCGACTTTTCCGCCATCTATGATTTTTGTTTGCAACGACAATGTAGTCAGTGGTCGGGAGGGAGCCTATTCGTTCAAGGGTAGAAACTCTCAAGGGAAGAACCCTATGAATTGAGTTCTCACCCTCTCTGTATTCCTGCCTAGCAGGTATATAGCTCTCTTGAAAATGTTGATTATTTTGCTAACCTATTTTTCTGTTGAAAATATATAGATGGTGCTCGGAAAGTATTGCGTAGGGTGAGGAAGAGTATATTTCCACTCTTTTCATATAAATTGATAATTGTGGTTATTTGAATCAACACAGGTTGTTGAGAAGCTTGACCGCCGACAACAATTCACAGGTAGTTATAGTTAGTTGAAATTGAAGAAACTCGTTCCTAGAAATATATCGATGGAAGGCCAACTTTTTTCGTTCGATTTTGATAACTATATGATTTTATTGTTCATGAACTCAAGTTTTCGACAATATGGTAGCTTATTTAGGCATTTCGATCAGCGATTTTTCTTCTCTAACGTCGCTGATGATATCATAAATATTTCCGATTTTCAAATTCCCTGTACTACCTATTTCCTTGAAAGAAAGAAATCATAATCTTCAACTTATCTGATATTAATTGTTTTCGAGATATCAGATATAGGTATTTGAAATAAAAGAAGTTAGCACAAGCATTTCTCATGAATTTCAGAAGCAGAGAATTACAAAAATGTTTGTTTTTCCTTTCTTTCATGAAATAACTATATCCCTGTTCAGCCTACAGAATGGAAACTAACGAAAGAGCCTCATCAACCCAACACTGTGACAAGTATTTCTGTACAATAATATGCTATTAAAAATAGACAACATGTTATTCGAAGAAAAAGGAATTCGATAAATAATGAATCTGGATTGAATCGGTAACATTCAAAATTTGAGAGAAATTGATCGGTATAACAACCTTCCATGACATATGGTCCTATTCGAAAATGAAACCATATACAGTGTCATTCATTAAGTCGGCATCATATGGAAAAAACTTTTATTAATGACATATTTTGGAATTCGAGTTGGACGTTAAGTTTTGCTTCAAAAATGATGGAAAATGGCCTACTCAATCGGGGTCACGCGACATTCGCTACATGTCGAAAGTGACAATTTTTCAAATTAATGGCTGGAAGTAGGCTTATTTGTTCGAATATCGTAGAAGGTTACTTGAAAAAGTTGTTTCTATTCAAATTTCACATATGTGACTCGGATTTTATCTTTCTATATTACATTTTTTAGATTTCGATATGTTTCAAAAATTTTCGAAATTTCTGCAATATTAAAAAAATTAAAAATTCGATAAAACTACTTCGTACCAGTAGCTTCATCATGCTACTAACTTTCAATTACTGATTATCGACAAAAATATGATTTTCTTCAGAAAATGATAATCTCTGCTTCCAAATTCTGTTATGTTTGATGCAAACATAACATCAAAATTCTGTTTGAGTCAAGCATTTAGAAACGAAATTAATTGGAATTCATTTTTTCAGTACTGAAAAGATCAGTTTAAATGAATTTCGTTTCTAAATGCTTATTGACGATATATCAACTTCGTAATAGTTCGCATCAAAGATAACAGAATTTGGAAGCGAGTATTATCATTTTCTGAAGAAAATCATATATCTGTCCATAATCAGTGATAATAAGTAATCGAAAGTAAGTAGCATGAAAAAGCTACTGGTATGAAGTAGTTTCGTGGAATTAACAATTCTTCAAATATTACAGAAATTTAGAAAAATTTCAAAAAAAATCAAAATCTAAAAGTTGCAATAGAAAAATAAAATTCGGTAAGCATGTGTGAAATTGAAATAGAAACAACTTTTTCAAGTAAACTTTTTCGATATTCGAACAAATGAGCCTACTTTCAGCGATTAATTTGAAAAAATGTATCATTTGACAAGTAGCGAAAGTCACGTGACCCCGATTGAGTAGGCCATTTTCCATCTTCTTTGAAGCAAAACCTAACGTCCAACTCGGATTCCAAAATGAGTCATTAATAAAAGTTTTTATCATATGATGCCGACTTTATGAATGACACTGTATATGTATACCTACATCATTCTATGCCTACACCGAAATTGAATGCAAAAATTCTATTCGTTCTTGACTTATTGCGAGAAATGAAGATTGAGTGTCTCTCTTGTTTTCTATATTCGAAATGCAGTAGAGAAATTGAAGAAACCAAACACACCTGTACATCGCAACATAATATCTGAATTTTCATCTAATAGGCTCACTAACGTTCTTTCGAAAATCTAAGAGTTGGTTTTTCTTGTTGAACCGTGTTGAAAACAATTTGAAGTTAAGCATTTTCTTGGGTTAGTTATGACGTCACCAAGTAATATGGTTCATTCCGGTTCAAAAACTTCTGAATGAACGGTTTGAACCTCCAACACAGATGGAGCAGTAAGAAAACGTCGAAGTTTAAGGTTATTAATATTTTCTAGTTCAGTTTTGGCTGAATATTTTGTCATGATCAATCTAAAATTCCACTCGTGACTCCATTACAATTGTTTCTTTTTTCACATTTCTCACAGATATTCATTAATTCAAAAATTTCTTGATTCCAAGTCGTTAATAAGCAAATCATTGATATTGACAGATTCTATTTCAGAATGGTCTGTTTTCATGAATGAGTTAATTAAATCACGCCTTGAAAACGTTTCAAAATCAATCTTGAACACGAGAAAAAACAACTCTAATGTGGTGTTATTATAACTGGTTCTTCCAGAAATGCAGACATATGCTACATATCAATATCATTACCATCTTGATTTTTTTATCAATTGATACACGCATATACTTGGGACTGTCCAAATGACAAATACACGATAAGTTTGGGGTGAACGATTAGCCAATATTTTTTGTTCGTAGAGATTGATTCCGATATACAACAATGGCTTATTTGCTTATCATTTATTTTTGCAATAAATACATTTACCAAAATCCTTAAATCAATTATATTCAATAAATAGCTCTTTAATATAAGAATAACGAAAAATAATTTTATACAAGGAACCATAAAACAATTGAACTACTTTCGCCATTTGTCCATTGGAGAACATGAGATGAATAATATAACTACTGTGATCATGTAGAAACAGCAATCGCACATACCGTTGTTTTTTCAAACATATTTTTTTGATATTTGTTATCTTTACTAACGTAATGCATGAAATACCTATATTTATTCTTTGCTGAGTATATACGAGTAATGGACCGCAATGTCGTGGTGCCTAATCATTTTTAGCTTGGTGGAAAAAAAATCTCCTCTCACAATTATTTGGTTCGATAGTTTTTATCAATATTGATTTTTTTCCCATCAAGACCCATAGTGCAACCTACCCTCTTTTGGGAATACAAAACAACTAATAGCCTACAAACTACCTTTATATATCCACAATTATTATCAACTTTGGTTTACATTTAATCAATTCTTGACTAGCTCCAATTAAGTACTTCAACCGTTTCCTGTCAACATAGTAATCATTCAATCAGTAACATTCAGTCTCATTCAACTCTTTGGCAATTCAAAAGTTATACCCTGAGGTTCTCTGATATAAGTTTATATATCTTAATGCCCTTACTTATTCAACTTTTTGATAAAATTCTCGCATCAGTCTTAACTAGAAGATAATATATTCGAATCTTGATATGATACACCTATATTGCACTGGGTTTCTGATAAGTCTTCTTCTTCGTCAGCAAATTTGATATCATCCAGATAATCACCGTCGAGACTAGGCGATTTCTCAACCTTGGTTTCCTTTTCTTCTTCTTTTTCCGAAAACTTCGATGACGTTCTCAATCTCTTAGGAAAATCGTGCAGCTGTATGCTCACAACTTTATTACCGTGAACTAATGGCTCTACTTCGTGGATGTATTTATTATCAACGACATCCCCCCTAGAAGGATGCACTTTTTTATTCTTGGCTCTCAGGATTGGAGAGCATTTCGAGGTGCTCTCGCCGATGGATATAGCTCGAGGTCTTGGTATTAACATTTCTTCTTCGGGGGACTCTTTATTGCTACCTGGATCGATGTAGATTTTGGGTCTTATATCTTCCATTTCATGATATTCGTGACCATCGTCTGGGAGAATTTCGCCACCTTCATCTAGTGGCGGAATCCATACTAAGAATGCAGGATCCATGCCTGAATATCAAGAAGAGATCATCATCAATATCAATATAATTTCCTATATACAGGATGTCCCAGAACAAGATACCATACATTCTACGGGGTGAACTCGACCAACAACATTATCATATGGGGAAGTAGTTCATGAACATGATTATTCTGGTCAATAACTCAACACAAATAAGGCGAAAACTTGCAAAACATGATAATCGTCATGATCATAAACAAGTGTGGAGGGGCATCAAAATGAATTTTGTTAGATAGGTATCTCGAAATCCAAGAAAAATTATAAAAACACTACGGTTAGAAAAAAGTGAGATGATTGATTTTCTCATCCATTGAAATATCAAAATATGGTAGGTGCCGTACTATGAAAATAAATGTATCAATTTTTATCAAAGAGAATGCAAAATACCTAACTCCCTGTATATTATTGAATCATTACGACATGGCTTCTATGTACATTCACTATACAGGGTGTAAATTTGAAAACTTTCAATGCGAATATCTCGCGAAATAAAAAAGTTAGGAAAACGCCGCTTGGCAATAATGCTAAAGAGTTAAGGGGAACTAGAACCACCATATTTCAGTGAAGGGGTGAGTCACCCTGTCAGCGCAACACACCCCAACTTTGAAATGTCAAATGGCACTACCTCTTTTGTGATACCTCAAATGAACGGTCTCAGTCAGTAGTATTCACCTGTACAAGACTTTTTTTCCACCCACTACAGGGTGTACGAAAAACATTAATTCGATGGTCTAAATTTGAAAACTTTCAATGCGAATATCTCGCTAAATAAAACAGTTAGGAAAACGCCGTTTGGCACAAATGCTACAGAGTGAGGGGGAACTAGAACCACCATACTTCAGTAAAGGGATGAGTCACCCCGTCGGCGCGACACACTCAATCTTTGAAATGTCAAATGGCGCTACCTCTTTTGTGATACCTCAAATGAACGGTCTCAGTCAGTAGTATTCACCTGTACAAGACTTATTTTCCACCCACTACAGGGTGAACGGAAAACATAAAGTCGAATAAAATGAAATGCAGAATGCCGATATATTCCAAGAGATGTGTTCCAAAATGTTAGAATGGCATTTGAACATCGATTATACTATTGCTTACAACAGAATGGAATGCATTTTGAACATCTGATCAAATAAAATATCCTTTTAACACAATTCATTTTATTTTATTCGACTTTATATTTTTCGTACACCCTGTAGTGGGTGTAAAAAAAGTCTTGTATGTGAATACTACTGACTGAGACTGTTCATTTGAGGCATCACAAAAAAGGTAGTGCCATTTGACATTTCAAAATTGGGGTGTGTCGCGCCGACGGGGTGACTCATCCCTTGACCGAAATATGGTGGTTCTAGTTCCCCTTAACTCTTTAGCATTTTGCCAAACGGCGTTTTTCTAACTTTTTTCTTTCGCAAGATATTCGCATTGGAAGTTTTCAAATTTACACCCTGTATATAGTAAAGTGCTCTACGAATTTCAGATCAGTACCTTTCATGGATTCCGAAATATTGAAGACTAGCTGACCCCGCAACCGTTGTTTTGCTATATACATTACTTCTATGATATATTTTTCCAGTTCAATATTCGTCAACACACTATTTTATTTTCTACTACTTTTTAGTTTCGCTATCTATAAAAGCGTGTTTCTTTAGTTTTTCGAACTACCATTTATTTCAACTCCTTTTTAGTTCACTTGAATTTCCCAATTTTGACGAAAGAATCATAATATCCGACTCTTGAAACCCCAGATGGAAATTTTGAATAGAATCGGAACATAATTACAAAACTCGTCCGCATCATTGAATCTACCATCTTGAATTCCCTAATTTTACGAAGGAATCATAATTTTCATCTCGAAAACGCCCACTCACAAATTTTGGATAGAACATAGTTACAAAATTCCGGTATATTGGTTCCAACCGTCTTGATTTTCCAAATCTCGCCCTTTCCGAATTTCGACAAAAGAATCTCCGACCCCGAAAACACACAAATAACAATTTTGAAGAAAGTCGGATCATAATGGCCAAGAGAGGTGTTCCCCGAGGCATATAACCTTCAGAAACTCTAGAAGAATACCAACTCCCACCTTATTCTCCTTTGGTTCTCACAATGTTCTCTGATCATTACAGGATATTCCTTCTCGTGAGAACCAGAACATAAAAAAATACAATTCTCGTCCGCCATATTGGGTCCGCCATCTTCAATGTCCTAATTTTGACGAAAGAATCATAATCCCCGATCACGAAAACCGCTATAGGTACCAATTTCGGAAAGAATCGGATTATAATTACAAAACTCGTCCGCCATATATTGGTTCCGCCATCTTGAATTTCCAAATTATGTCAGAATTTTCAAATTCGGTTGGAAGAATCATAATCCCCAACCCCGAAATAAACCCCCAGATACCAATTTTGAATAGAATCGGACCATGATTACAAAACTCGTCCGATATATTAGATCCGCCATCTTGAATTTCCCAATGGTACCGGAAAAAAAGTATCATATAACCTTCTTCTGGTTCTAAGCTACTTCCCCACCGATTTTCAGCCAAATTGATACATACAAACAATCAAATCGTTCCTCTTTATAATATTAGCATATAGATAATCTGGAGATAAAATTGTTCTTCATCGCTCTCTCACGGCTCAACAGTGTATTTTTGTATAGAGGTGAGTTGATTCCAATCGGCCTAATTTGATCTATAGTTCACCTTATAGGTACGGTATTCTGGGACACCTCTTATTGTATTTATACAAGCTAGACAGAAAGTGAGATGCAAGAAATAAAAGGGACAAAAGCATCGGTTACATTTTATTTGTTTAATGAAACCTAATATTCAGATGAGGTTTGCATTGATTCTTACCTAAATATGATCCTGGAGCAGCCCCAGCATTGACAACATTGTAGTCATAGTAGTCCATTTCCAAATCGGTATCCTGCGCAGCTATAGAAAATTCTGAGCCAGTTGGTCCCGCCAATAACTTTTCTCGATTCTTCTTGTCCTTTTTCTCTTTTGCATTATTTGTACTCACAATTGTTGCTCTACTAATCATGCTACCAGCTGATGAATAGCAGCCCTACATAAATCAGAGAAGACTATATTGACGAGTGTTCATTTCGCAAACTGAATCATTGATGGAACATTATCACAATGAAGACTCATTTCCATTTATCTCATTGAAACGATTATGAAGATTGTGAACTGAAAGAATATGGTGATCGCGTCTCCATGTTCCGATAGCTGATGAAGTTTAATTAGATTGAAGATGTAATGAGACATCATTATAATAATGAGAATACACGAATTGCATAGTGCTTCCAAAAGTGCTCTGGTGAATTGAGTGAATAAGGTGAGTATAGCTCTAGATACTATTTTGCATGATTGGATGACACAAACTGCTATCCCGTATGAATGAAAATGTGAGGCTAGCTCACATAAACTACTATTTGATAATGATTGCTAACCACATCCTCTAGCTTATTATTTACACTGAAATATCTGATTTGACATAGAGACCAAAGACCATTCCAAGCTTTCGGAACGATAACACCATATTTAGTGATAATAGAAAACAGAACTAACTGATGAATTCATCGGTTCAAAATAATTATAGTCTATCCAGAGTCAATTGAAGCATCTCTCGCAACGTGCGGCTTTGGAGAGTTTGAAGTTCCGTTTGAAGTGACTACACGTGCGGCTCGAGACTCTCCAATTATTGACTTTAGATAAACATACCATTGCAATTTGTTGTAGACCTTCGATTAAGAGATTATCAAAGTTAGATTCACATAAATGATAGATATACAAGGATGGTTATATTCAACGGTGAAGATTTTTTGTGAAGTGGAATGAGATATCCTCAAAAGTTATTATACTGACCTGTTGTTAGTCAATAATGAATATACAATATAAAAAACAGTAGATTAAAGATGAAGGAGAGTCAGTTGACCTATCTTGGCAACTGAAATATTTACCTACAAAGTAACTTCAGAGAAAGTACTGAAAGTGGGTTACAAATATTCAAAAATTTAAAATGTCTAAACTGTTCTTATCGAATTCATACTGTGATATTTTCAGAGTATTATATGCTTCGGCAAGTGAGTATATAGGGTCTTGCATAGAAGCAGTTATATTTCATACTTGCTGTTATTGACGGAGCTATATGTGATTGGTATATACAGGTATTGGTGTTGGTGTCTATGTGATATGGACAATCATCAAGATACAACGTTTCTGATGCGTGCACTAATTCAACGTTTAATTTGTTCCTATAAAATGGTTATTTATTATGCAAGGGAAAAAGTAGTAGATTTTAGCACCAGGTTGTGTCCGTGAGCTTAAATATATTGCGAACTTAGTAGTTGTTTATTAATTTACGTACCGCGAAGTCGAATGGGAGATAAGAGAACGTGCTGTTCTTCCTCAGATAAGGTGTTATTGGCTCATTTTTCGAAACTATAGCACAACATAAGCCAATAACAGTGAATATATTTATGATACATATCCATGAGAAAAGTACCCACTTTTTTCCCGTGGGAAAAAAGGAATTTGTGAGAACTGACATTTTATAACCTGTCAACTGAGATGAAATCTCGAACTTTTTTTCCGTCACAGAAAAACAGTTATATCAAACTGGATTACTCGTTTTTACTATGACATGTAAACAATATTGAAAATACCTATACTGGAATTCATATATTTGCCTCTTATTAGTGATGCATTTCTTGGAAAAATTTAACAATGAAATCTCAAAATTTGAAATAATCGAAATTTCATCAGTGGCGTAGAAAGTATGGAAGAAAATGTAACAACCCTCTTTAGCGCACCACTGGATGAGATATATGAAGTGACTTTCTGGGCAAAAAATTACTCATTCGAAGATGAAACCATATACCTATTGCGAAAAATTTTTTTATATTTCTCTACTCCAACACCCTCTATCTTGAGAACTTTACACTCGAAAACCGTATGTTCCTATCTCAGTAATTATGAAATCACGATGGCTATCACCAGTCAAGAGGACGAATTTCCAAACACCCTGTATATTTGGACTAGAATTTTCGACACGATATTCATTCCACACTGTTTCAGCACTAACCAAACCAAATTTTAATTATTTGTTTCAATATTCTCCTGGAGGAAATATTGTTGTGTGATATTCGTATGATAAGATTGCCACATATTACCACAGTTCATGGAATATATCACCATTCTATCTGATATTTTACACCTGGGTAATATTGAATGAATATCGCTGAATGTTCAATTTTTTTTTCTTGCTTATATTATGGAAAATGGAAACTTGAGACCAAAATTATCCTTATGTATGTGTGCTACTTGTGGTCGGGGTATTTCAACTGCATGACTTTCACCAAAACTATAAACTTTCAATAAGCAACATTGACATATTTACCAACCGCCTCAAAAATACCTGTAACTCTTTGTGGCATGCCATTTCATAATTTCATCATGCACAACGAATTCTCTTGCGGAAATTCCCACATTTTTTCTTTGTATTTTGTTTTATATCACTGTTCACTATGTTTCAAGTGGTACAGTTTCAGAATTTTTCATTTCCAAAATGGCGAAATTAGATGGTTTGAAATTCGATCCAGTGTGCAATACGAACTGAAATACTGAAATGATTTCACAAATCTCAAGGAACATTTAATAATGAAATGCAGTACAAACGAACAGTACCTATATAAAACATGTGTCAGGACTAATAATATGGTTTTTTCTGTGACGGGAAAAAAGTTTGGCGTTTCATCTCTGTTGGCAGGTTATAAAATGTCACTTTTCATAAATTACTTTTTTCCCGTGGGAAAAAAGTGGGTACTTTTTTCCCGGATATATATCACATTATACTATATATCCTCTGTTAATGGCTTTTGTTGTGCTATAGTTCCGAAAAATGAGTCAATAATAGGTACCGTCTCCGAGAAAGAACTGCAAGTCCTTTTATCTTCCATTCGACTTCGCGGTTTCGTATATTACTAAACAACTACTGAATTCGCAATTTTTTAAAATCAAATCACAGAATTGAACTGACAGAAGTGACATCAGATATTTGATTACTTCAAAAGAATGATAAAGATGTCTATAAAACGCAGGTGTCCATACTGTTAAAAACTTGAAATTTCACGTCGATAATTTTCAGATTTCGAAATAATGGAATATCTTCTCAATATTGATTCGTCCTTCCTTCTGTCACAGAAAAAAATAGTGTATTATACACGGGAAAAATATTAGATTTTAGCTCACGGTTTTTTGTCTCCCTCCGCTACGCGTCGGGAGACAACACAACCTGGAGCTAAAATCTACTACTTTTTTCCCTTGTATTATAAATAACTATTGTGGTAGTTCGGGAAAGAATATTTGTTTTTGCCCAAGCATATAATGCAACCTCACAAATACTACAAGACCAATCAACGGGAATGGTCTTAATACTACATCGAGGACGTCTTCGTCTTCTGACCGTCACATACTCTTCTCCGAAAATTCTACTTTTTCAATTATCCTGGTACGTCTTTCTTCAATTCACGTATTATAAAGGAATTTACAATGCAACAGTCAAGGAAATGGAAGAATATCCTCATCCACCATTTCCTACTATTGCGGTCAAGTTCATATGAGGACTTCAGTTGGTCAAATTCATCTACAAAATTCATATTTCTATTGTAGTCCTCGAGACCTTCTTGACATGAGACATCTTTCAGTGATCCATAGTCAATTCATCTCGCTCATCTTTATCTTATGAATCTTCTGATTCTGGATCACTGGGTATTTGTTCATCTAAGTTTCTGATAATTTCATCAAGTGCTATGCTAAGCAGATGGGAGTCTTGATTCTGTACCATGGTTTCTGTAACAATTTTGATGTTGTGAAAAATTTCTCAATGTTGCACAGTGGTCTAAATATTGTACCATTCAAAATGATTACATTTACGTCAAAATATTGATTTGATTTTGTAAAAACATCATTGACCGATAGTAAAGGAACACGATGAGCCAAGAACGTCTCAATCATCTCACTTTGGAGAAGTCGATATTGAAAGTGTTATCTCTAAATTAGGTGGTCTATTTTGTGGACCAATATGCATGAACTGTTCGAATTCAAGTGGTCCAAATCATGGATCCGTATGCTGCAATAAAGAGATAAAGGAAGTGCACACACCACGAAACGCTCTTCGAATCATGATGATCATCCGCATTGCTGGTGAAAAGGCGATGAAAACGGCAAACCAAACAAAATAAAAAAAAGTACTCCACCGGATCACTTTTGGAGCACACTTGAGGCATCCGGCTCACATGGGTCAAAGTGATATTACTGACGTTACTGAGCCTTCTCAACGCATCCCTCCTGGACAGCTTCACCCCCTTCTCCTTCTCCGTCGATGCGTCCTTCTCGCTCGTCATCGTGGAGGACCTCTTCAGCGTGGGGTAGTCGTTGCTTTGGGGGGAAGTGGGGAGGCTCGAAGTGGAGGTGGGGTCTTCGGTTTTATTCTCGTTGGCTTCGTCGTCAGCAGCGGTCGTGACACCTGGTTGCGTCAAGGTTGCGGTGCTGCTCACGCTCAAAGATTCTTCTTCTTTTCTGCAAAGTCATTAGAATAGAGTCCCTGTTTTTTTGCGCGAAATATTAGTTATTTTTGGAGATAGAGTGTTGCAGTTTTCACGTTACCACCTTCCTTTTTTGTGACAAATAATGCCACAAACAGAATTTCCACAGTCCTTTATGTTTTTGAGATACATGGTGAAAGTTGAGCACCTCCAGATCTTGGTGATTTTTCAACTTATCGGCAGCATGAGAACGGGGCCTTATACAGGGTGCGTTAGTGAATAAGTGCGACTAACTTCAGAGGGGGCGATTTCTTGTGATAGTTTAGAAAATGGAATCCACATAAACATGTGTTCCAACTTGCTTCGTTTTCGAGATACAGGGTATTAATATTTCCATAAAAAATCGTTCTAATAATCATTACTCAGATGTTTTTTCACCAATTTCAATGAAATTTTATGGTTCCGTTGAATGCAACATGAAGCTCCTTTTGATGTGATTGAATTCAAAATAATATTTTCAATGGCGTCACAGTGGGTTGATTTATCGATATTTACGGTTAATATCATTGTACGCCATTGTTTTTTTTTACTGTCTTATTTTCATTAGATTGAACAATTGGAATATAAACCTCCTTATCCTCTGTGTTTTTTTTTTCATCTTGCTCAATATCTGAGGAAACAATACAAATTCGATATGTCTCCAAATTTCAATGTAGGTGCTCTCGAAACATTCTTTAAGATTACTCAATAACCTCGATAAGAATCATTTTGAAAATTTGAGACTTTTTCAGTCTCCAACCATACTGAATTTTGGTACCATGAGAGCTTATACAGGGGCGTTATGAATAACAACAACCTCCAACTTCAACATCCTGTATATCAATAAAGAAGCAAGTTAGGACACATGGTTATATGAACTTTATTTCCTAAAATATCACAAGGAATCACCTCGTGAAGTTCGTCGCAGTTATTCACTAACACCCTGTATAACTTTCTACGTATAATACAGTGGCGTATTCATTATATTTCCATAACTACTCATTTTGAGAAAACGGAGGGAAAAAAATCAATATTTTTGATGAGCTATACGAAATCTTAATCAAACTGGATAAAAATATACAGGGTTCCCTATTTGAAAAAAAAAATTGGCTTCATATTTATTGACAATAATCGATTACAGAAATGAAATGAGTACTCCACTGTATTATACGTAGTAAGTTATATAAAGCTCAGTTCTTATTCTGTCGATAAGTTGAAAAGTAACCAATAAGGTACGAGAGGTGCTCAAAAAGTGAGTATTTTCAACTTCGCCCTGTATCTTAAAAACGTCGTGAAACACTATGAAAATTTCGTGTTGTCTTTTATTCGTTTCACGAAAGAGTAAGACAGTAACGTGAAAACCGCAACACTCTATCTCCAAAGGTAACTGAGATATCGCTCAAAAGCATTTAAAACAGGACATACTGTACAGTGAATGATTCAGAGTGACACCGCCTGACTTCATGTTGAGTTATTATTCCACATAATCTCATCTAATTATCTATTTTCGAACAATGACAGCTCTGTCTAATAGATGAGTATTCCTTCAGATGGCTACAAGCCGAAGAAACAAAAAATTGCTGTTATCTGTTACATCAGCCGTAGATTTGATCGCTCATGCTGCAAACTTTATTCTCGTTCGAAATTACTATAATTTTTTCGTGCTTGTAAAATAATAGTAATCTATTATACAAGGGAAAAAGTAGTAGATTTCAGCTCCAGGCTGTGTTGTCTTGTGACAAAAAACCGTGAGCTAAAATCTAGTATTTTTCCCGTGTATATAATGCACATTTTTTTTCTGTGGCAGGAAAAAAGGCGACTCAGTATTGAGAAGATATAACATTATATTAAAATCAGAAAATTATCGACGTGAAATTTGAAGTTCAGCAGGAATGACAACTGCGTTTCAAGCATCTTTTTGCATCTAAATCATTCCTCTGAAATCATCAAATATCGGTTAGTCTAATTCGGAGACAGCCAATAGGCTTATTATTCGGATTTCCTGCACAACAAAAGCTATCAACAGTGTGTATATATGTGATATATCCAGGAAGACAGTACCCACTTTTACATACAGACATTTTATATCCTGTCAACAGAAATTAAATTTCAAACTTTTTTCCCGTCGTAGAAGAATATACTATTAAACGGTATATCATAAGCGTTGACTCGAAAAGAGATTTTTTTCAACCGAATTCAAAATGAGGAATGAAGATAATGTCTTCAGGTTTTTTGTTCAATAATGATGATCAAATTTCAAAATTTGACGATTCAACATTTCAATGATGAATGTTTCTTCAATGTTAAGTTCGATCTTCACTTCATGGTCGAATTCACATCAATATTCAACGTGCTCTGACGTATTCAAACGTTTCTGCTGGATTCAATGAAAGCTTTTTGAATTTTTATCAATCTTTTTGGTGAAGTTCGAGTCAATATTGAACGATTCCTCAATTATATATCGCTGTGTTTCTAAAATTATCTATACTCATCGGCAAAAAACATGTTACCAAAAAATTTTGCCAAATTGTTCGCCCTGTAACTTTTTTAATACTTGACCGATTTTGGTGAAATGACGATCAAATCGTACATCCATGTTCCGGAATATAAGCCTGAATATTAGGTCTCAAGAAAAGCTGATGGCTTGATCATTATACATAAAGAAACAAATGAAACCCTTATAATTTCATCCTAACTTCTCAACGCCTTGTGGCAGAGGTGAGTAGTCAAACTTAGATTCTTCATGTTTTGTATTGAAGTGTGATTCCTTGTCAACACAATGGTTTTCGATTTACATCGATAACCTCTTTCAAAGAGAAGATTCAAGTGTTTCAAGAAAATACGATTCTTGCTTTATCGTCCATTCTTCGACACAATCGCTCTAAATCCATGTAAGTATATCTTCTTCTAAAGAGAAATACAAGTTTCGCAAAAAAGTAAGGATTTTAGAAATTTTCATTAACAATAATTCGGAACCTATATAGAGCATATTAGGGAAGAACTCCAGAGGCTCATAAGCCTTCGACCGGCCTTGTCGCAGACTCTTCAAGAGCTTTTACTCCAGGCAATTCTTCAAGACTACTTGAGGAATTTGATCAACCCGATGCCACGGCGGTTGAATGCTGTAATTCAAACTCCTGCTTCCTGTTTGTTTTTTGCAATCAAGATAATAATAATAATAATAATAATAAAGGTCTTTATTATTTTCAAGTAATACTCATACATTTTGTGAATACAAATAAACATATTTTTTGAAAATAAAGGGCGAAGTTCATTTCCTGTAGAGAAACAGTAGCTTCACTACGGAAATGCTCTTCCACTTAACCCTGGTGCCGGTGAGTGCTAAGGAATGAGTAATATGAAGTCTTCAAGTTGCAAATCAATAAGTGTATGTAGGTTCTGATTATTATTGATAAAAATTGACAAATGTCATACCACATATATTTTCAAATCGTTTATTGAACGATGAATAGCCTTTCTCTATCGAACTTCGTGGATGAAACCTGGATCACCTCGTATTTTTCACCTCAATAATTTTCCATCCTATTTCTCACGAACATCTGTCATGGATAATGCTTCCTCAAATCCCCTAGTCCCTACCAAACTGTACGTCATTACTGTTTGAACGACACAAGCGGTAAACATGGGAAGTAGGAAACTAAAGATAAAGAGAAAGTCACATTAATGACTCTTAGAACTTGGCTGTGCTCGAACAATTATACAACGCATTTTCCTGCAAATGAGTTACTGTCAAGTTTCCTGCTACTAGGAACCGGGATATTCTGTTGGTAGTAGTTCGAACACGTGTTTGGCATAAATGAAATAGAGAATGAATAATTATTGCTATCGAGTCATCGAGAAAACTCGTAGGTATTCCAGGATTGGAATATAATAATTATTCTAATGAATCACGGATATAAGTTCACTCCATCGAGAATAACGTCCTGACATCGAAACTTGAACGTTCTCAACATCAACGGTTGTGGCAAAACGTGTTTCTGACAGCTGTCAAGATTGGAATGGAATTGACCAATAATATGTCTCTAGAACCCTTCAGAACTTCAGGAAGTAATCACTATTTACTGATTCATCTTAACGTCTGCAAATCTTATTGCCTGTGAACAGAGTTGAACCATGTGGAACTAACTATATAAGTCAAACATAATAATGATTGTGGTTTGAACAGAAATATTCTGTGGAAATTCTATACCACTGTCGATCTTATTGGAATAAATAATGAAGCATGATACAGGCTAATATACAGGGTGTTTGGTGCATCGTGTGCAAAATTGAAATGGTCGAATGAAGGGGTCATCTGCTATCCTTTAAGACTAGTTCACACCTCTCATGTCCTGTGGATTATTTTTAATCGTCTTTTTATCTGTTCATCAAAAAAAGACCCAAATTTCACATTCAAATTCAAATTTTGAAAGAAGTATAAGGCGTAGACTCTTGATTTTAATTCTATTCAGATGTGTATTGTGTTAGAGTACTTTTAAATACAACAATAGTGACATAAGTCATCTAGTTGTTCTTTGATTTACTCGCAGAGTTTCGAAATATGTGAAACTCAAATTAAAGCTGTGACTTTACATGACTACAAAAAAAAACAACAGCGACCAGGATCTTCCAACTCCCTCGAAAGTTCTCTAGTCTATCCTCTTGCTAATGATGTGTCACATGCCATAAATATCTATTATCAACTTTGTAAATTCGCTAGAATTGTGAATCGAGTCGTCACATAAGGCAAATATTCAGAATTATGATTCGAAAAATTATTTTGGTTTGAATAATTCCTGAACCTTTTGAATTTGTTATCTTACTCTTATGAGGTCTTGTATCTCTATTGTTTCGTGGATTATACTTGAGATAAACAAAAAATAAAATTGCATTTTCAACATTTATTTCGCATTCATTTCATGAATCTCACAAATCCTGCTCAAATTGTTGACCTCAGTTGCGAATGCAGGCTCGACATCTGTTTCGTATTTCGACAGTTGTCGTTCGAAGTCGTATTTCCTCCTTAATGGTATCGAAGGTCGTTTCTATGCGTTGGACTAGTACATCCCTAGTCGGAACTTCCGTGGCGTATACCAGCTCTTTGGCAGGTCCCCAGACATAAAAGTCTAAAGGAGTGGCGGCCATACAATAGGGCCATCGCGCCCAATCCACGCATGAAAGAATCGCGGAGTTCGATGAAATGAACACGTTAGGTAGCAGGGGCATTGATGTCTCGACTAAGAAATTATGGGGTCGGTGGCAGGTCGTGATTTGTTCAAACAGATTTCGGTTGTGCAAGAAATATAAATTTTACTTGTTTCTGGAGTAACAGTTACGCAGAAACAATTTTTCAGATCATTTTTAATAACAGCCTTATGAGGCTTGGTTGACATTTCTAGCGAATTCACGAAGTTGTTAAGAGATATTAATGGCATGTGACACATTATTGGCAAGAGAATGGACTAGGGAGCTTGGAGGAAGTTGGAAGATCCTGGTCGCTTTTGTTTTTTTTTGTAGCCATGTAAAGTCACAGCTTTAATTTGAGTTTAACATATTTCGAAACTTTGCTAGTGAATTTAAAAAAAACTAGATGATTCATGTCACTAGTTTAAAAGTACTCTTACACAATACACATTCGAATCATCCTTACCGTTATGGATGCCTATATCCATACCAAATATTCGTTGTCCGTTTGCTTCTGAGTATTGATGTGAATTAATCACTACTTCATGCAATTTGGTAGGGAGCTTTTCGTTTTGGAAAATGTTGGTATTTGTGAGAAGCAGTGAAAACTATAGCCTTTAAATGCCCACGTGATGCACACTCTTATTCTCGTTACGGCAAATGCTGTAAATGCAAATTTCTGTCTGTGAGAACGCACACTTGAACACATAAAGGGAATCAAAGAGTCGAATCACGTTTTGATTCGGAATCCCCATCCTTTTGAGGTTTGATCTATTGGGAAATTGTCATTTCCTCTGAAGAACCAAAAATCTCGAATTCCCTATCGAAATGTTTGATGTGGTAATCTCATGTCATCGGAAATGTTCAAAGATCACATACCGGATGTCTCATTCTTCATCATTTCTTTTATATCGAAATTCATTTATTGATCCTGAATACTTGAACTGACGCTCGCTAATCTCATATGGATATACTACCATTATTATATTACTACTACTATTTCTAATAACGAATAATTTAAACGAGTCGGTATATCATCAATGTTTTCCAATACATCATTTGCATAAAAATAACAAAATCATCATATCTATAGGATAATTGGGTTGTACGTATATATCTTCCTTGATCATTGCGGAATCAGGCTTTCGATAACGTGTGATATACCAACAATCACTATATCCTTCATATACAGGGTGAGTCAAAAATGTGTACCAAGCTTTCTGGAGGTAACTGTATATGAAAAAATTAGTATAGTTCGATGAATAAACTAATATCTCAAAATGTATATTATAAGTTGATAAAATTAAAATAATCTTCCTGCTCAACTGCTAAACGGTAAAAGCCACGAAATTGAGATTTTTGCGTGAATGTCTGTTGATAAAGTATATTCTTCTGATAAGTACACTTGTATATTTCTAATATGAAGACAACTTTCTTCCTCGTCTTCTTTTTATTGATTATATGAAAACGGTACTCTTATCTAGATACAAAAATTGTAACTATTCGCGAGATATTTTGTAGTCACATAACATCAGCAGATTATTATTATATATAGCGTTTATTAATATAATCGATCATTATTGAACTTGAAACTTGAACCTATATAATTATGTTCGGTCAAATTATCATTTATTTCCAAGGTGATATCTATTGGCATGCTTCGCGTATCTTCATTCGAGTATCATTTTGTTAATACTTACGCCAACGTCACTTCATTTTCACTTCTCGAAGTTTCGCATTCCATCGATTCTCTCAACCGGATGTGCTTGTTTCTGTTCGGTCGAATTCTGGTCATGGAGATCACTTCAGAGAGTAGAGTAGCGCTAGATGCAGCCCTAGTCGTCAACGGAAGGCTAGAGGTAGAACCTATACAGTAAAAATGCAATATCATGATATATTCATACGTTCATCTCAGTAAACATACTCGTAATCTCGGAATTTGTGAGATGGAATACGATCACTGATCTATTGAATTGTAACGTCAGTGAGTCAGTGTGACATGTACTTCGAAATATAACAGTTATGTGCTGTCCAGTAGATGGAGCCCTTGTGTAATGGGGTTGTACACACAAGTTGAATTCACGTCACATACCTATTTTATATTGATCAGACCGTGTATAATAGTTATTTATTATACAAGGGAAAAAAGTAGTAGATTTTAGCTTCAGGTTGTGTTGTCTCCCGACGCGTAGCGGAGGGAGACAAAAAACCGTGAGCTAAAATCTAATATTTTTCCCGTGTATAATACACTATTTTTTTCTGTGACAGAAGGAAGGACGAATCAATATTGAGAAGATATTACATTATTTCGAAATGTGAAAATTATCGACGTGAAATTTCAAGTTTTTAACAGTAGGGACACCTTCGTTTTATAGACATCTTTATCATTCTTTTGAAGTAATCAAATATCTGATGTCACTTCTGTCAGTTCAATTTTGTGATTTGATTTTACAAAATTGCGAATTCAGTAGTTGTTTAGTAATATACGAAACCGCGAAGTCGAATGGAAGATAAAAGGACTTGCAGTTCTTTCTCGGAGACGGTATTATTGACTCATTTTTCGGAACTATAGCACAACAAAAGCCATCAACAGAGTATATATATGTGATATATATCCGGGAAAGAAGTACTCACTTTTTTCCCACGGGAAAAAAGTAATTTATGAAAAGTGACATTTTATAACCTGCCAACAGAGATGAAATGCCAAACTTTTTTCCCGTCACAGAAAAAATAGTATTTGATGCAATCATTCGTTATTTATAATCATCTTGAATACTTTTTATTATTTGGAAATCGACACCTCCGAAGAAACTATCAGGTTTCGATCACGTCATTTGCCTCATTCTCTATCATCTGCAGTAAGTATTCTGGCAGAAAAATTCATTTCATATTTTGATTAAAATGACATTCAGAAATATTCTTGCACTTGTTCAACAGAAATAGAGAATGGATACGTAGTCGAATCGAATCAGAATGGAAAGAAAGGTAGTGTTCTCGCGATAATATAAGTTGTCTTTGGCTTGGCCATTGGTCAGATTATGTGAGAATCTTGATGATGAGTGAAATAGTAGTTTTTACTTCTCCAAGGTATTTGGCACATCACATGATAATCTCCTATAGGAACTTCCAAGAAGTTCATCGTTCAAAATGAAATCGTTCCAATTTGAACTGTCTATCAAAATGCATGTATCACCTATCCATACTGATCTCTAAATAAGCAAAGCTCATTATATACAGGGTGTTTTATTTGCGATTACGAAGAATTATTCACTGAAACAAGTTGAAATGATGCGAACAAAAAAAATGACCATACAAAGAAAACGAAAACTATCATCTAATCTTAATCTTGAATCCATTGGAGCTGTTTATTTGTATTAGCTGAGTGATAGTTTGTTCCTCTACATAATAATGTCTACCTTTCAGATTATCGGATCAAACTGTCTGGTCTCCCAACAATCCATCTAGCTTTCGACCCGTGTCCGTTGGGAGCCCGCCTTTAAGGCCTTCTAGGAAAATAAAAAGCAGTATTGCCAGATCCGGTATACTGAATATACTATACTAAATAAAGTGAAATTTGCTCTTGTCAATACATGTACATGGTAAATATTGAAGAATCATGAACGCATTGAAACAAATTATCAGAAAAATTACCAAAAAATATTACAGAGAAAGTTTGTAGAACAAGAAGGAAGACGGGAGTCATTCGAAGATATTATACTATACATAGAGACTGCAAGAAATATCTGTAGAGGTAAAAAATTGGTATCAGCAATATGAGAAGGATAGAAAAGTGAACCAGACGAATTGCAGAGAGAACCTGGAGATAAAGGAAAGATGTACACATGGATAGACAAATAATATCACGAGATGTAAACAAAAACGACAGAAGTTGAGATAAAAGAGGAAACAGTAAAACTATAATTATGCTGGGTGGAGTTCAGTAAGGAAATGACTGGAAATTATAGGATGAAACAGTAGTTAACACATCACTCCGAAGCGAGAAAGAAAATATAACAAAAAGAGTAAATATAATGAATATTAACAAGGAAACCTCATCTACGATTCACCAGGAAATAGATTTGATGAAGTAGAAAGAGATATATATGACAATATTTGAAAGCTGAAGTTGAAATCAGCTCTGGGTGAAATTTATTGAGGACCTAAACAATTATAGACCGGCACCTAGTGACAGATTTTCGGACGTGATTTCAGTATGCCTTTTGAAGGGTATCATTATAATGTAATGTATATTTTGATGTTGAAAAATGATACATGATAGAATCCTTTTGGGTTCTTCATGAATTGAAGCATGTTTTCAAGGTTTAGATGTACTTGGACATGCGCAAACTGTATGCCATTTTTGCCGTAGCATATGTATAGCTCAAAAATGCAGCAGCCTGTTTGAAAATTAGGAAAAATGATTTTTTTTCAATGCCTCCACCGTGATTACCTTTTGGGCTCACGCAACCAGTATGCCTCTGTATTTTCAACTACGCATATCACTTATATATTTAATTTTGGGACACATCAGACAGCTTGAGTATGAAATCGTATTCCATAAACGGTAGCAGGAGGATTCTTACATCTATCATTTTTCAACATCAAAATATATACATAATGATACCTTCCAGAAGGCATACTGGGTGAAATCACGTCCGAAAATCTTTCACTACCTGCCGGTCCCAATTGTATAACACGGTCCCAAACGAATGATATGATAGCAGGAATTTCTGATCTGAAGAATATTTTTGTGGAAGTGTCAATAGAGAAGTGGAAGGTCGTCGACTTTCCTACGGTGTTGTGATGATGTCAAGGAATGGATGAGTGTGCCATCATCGACCAGGTGAATGACTCGTCTCTGGATGAAATCTAAAAGCATCAGCGTTTATTTTCGTGCTGAACTTTATAATTATGTGAAAACAGTGTTGTGAAACTCGCCACACCATCAATTACTTTGTAACAATTTCAGGAAAATAGTACTATCAAGCGTACCTGTAATGGATATGAGCAGATAATTTGGGATGATTGATTCAGGAGAGACAGAAGATCATAACAGATATATTAAATTCATCAATCAAAAAATGCTTTATCGCCTGAAGAAAATGATTCTCAGAAAAGATCACCCCCATGCCCCATACTATGGTAGGTAGAACACAGCAAAATGAGTTGGGTTAGCTCTTTAAAAAAATGTAACGACACTCGTTTTCAAGATACAAGGTGGTGCAAGAAATTATCATTAGTGGGCATTTCTGCTCAAAATGTGGGATTCATGGTTGTAATCCTGGCAGCACCTCGATGCCCTAAAAGTGATTCGGATTCCACTATAAGCTGTAGGTCCAGCTCTTCCTAACCTCGCACAAGTTTTGACTTCTGGGGAGTTGGTTTCCAACTTTGAAGTAGCGATATACGAATTTAACAAAAAAATTTACTGTGTATCATTTGCGGAATATTTTGATTTTAAAATGGATGAAGTGATAACTGTTATTGCTGGTATAAAGCTATGTATTAAGAATTAAATCACCCGAATGACTTGAAAGCTAATCCACAACCGTTTTACTGTTTAGGAGAACAATGTATTCTTGAAAAATAGATAGAATCTTATATTGGTAGAAACGGAGGACATTTTCAACATTTACTCTAATTCAATATTTCATACAGTTGTGATTCTTTCTGAAATCGACAACTTCAGCACAAGAATGATGTTATCGTCTTTGAATCCGAATAAATATATGTTATTGATCTCACTTATAGATAATTATTTTATACCAGCATCAACTGATATACTCCATCATTTTCAATTCAAAATATTCCGAAAACGGTACCTATACAATACTGAGTTTTATCAGGAGTACCTTTTTGGTGTTGAATTGAATGATGTTCAAGATCTTATGGAATTTGATCCAAAAAATCTAACCTCAAAAAAGTTATGATCAAAATTACTAAGTAGAGTAGGTATATCCAAAATCAATTGCAAAATATCCCGAATCGTACGACTTCGGCGGGTTTGGAGTTCCCTTTGAAGTGAGTGCAGGTGCGGCACGAGACTCTGCAATCATTTTTGGATAAACTATACGAACCGTTTAACTTGCGCTCTCTATGAAAGTCAGATATGAAAATAAATTCATGCGGTGTGTCAGCTTCCAGAACATATTCATACAGAATTACATTACAATGTTGACAGTAGTTTCGACAAAAACATTTTTCAAGCTCCTTGTATCTTGTAAACATTTTTTTAAAAGCAAACCCCAACTATAATGTTCTACCTTCTCTAGCAAGGAGGTCACTCTCCATGTGTGTATAGGCCTTGATTATATACACTAGTGTGAATACTCAATGGTATAGGGTACATAATTCGTTCTCGATTGTATTAGAAGGGTTGAAACTGTTGAAAGAGACAAAGAAGGCAATGAAAACGATGATCGTCTATTCCATGTTCCAGTACATTATGTGAGTAGTTTAAAGTACAGTTCCTTTCACAATTCAGGCAACGCTGATGACTGCTAGAAAGCGAAGAGGACTTTAAATCTCAACAAATCCGCTATTACGCTTCCAGGCTTTTTTCGTCTGTGAAGCTGCAAGATTTGGTTTATCACGATATTCGGAGAGAGTCGCGTTCTTGAAAACGTCCGCCTGAGGGTGTATGAAAAAGACTTACTTCTTTCGGCAAGTGGCAAACCGTGTTCGAGTATAGATGCTTGGCTTCCTATCGATATGTTTAGAGTTTATTTTAACTCTATTATTGATATATGACTCGTCTGCTTAATATTTTGCTTCCGAGCAGATATCGTTCTCTCAATACTGAATACTGAATACAAAAAGTAGCTAATGATACTTTGAAAATTGAGCGTTTTTCTTGCACTTGGAAT